TGCTATTAGCCTGTGAACAACAGCCAGTAGTCTGCGAGCAACTTCTATAAGTCAGCTAGTAAGCGCTGGTGCACCACTAACAGTTCCCTGTCGTCTGTAGGCAATTTCTGACATTCCAAGCAACTCTGAGTGGTTGGAGATCACATCCTTGAAGTCATCTAGTAACTACTCGTGGTCACCTAGCAAGCCTTAGTAATCTTCTAGAAACTCCCAGTGGTCTAAGAGGCCCGCTAGTAGTCCACTAGCAACTCTTAGTAGGAGTTCACACTCATTGTCATTGTATTGTAGTTTTTTGGACCTCCTGGTGGTCCGCTCGTAGTCTGCTAGCAACTCCTGATGTTGTTGCGACTCAAGCTAGTCCATTAGTGACCGCTGGTGATCACTGCTATCCTCTCGCTAGCTATTAGCAACGCTGAGAGTTGAAACGGCTCCTCCGCAAGTGGATTGCTCGCAACTCCTCGTGGTCTTGTAGCAACTCTTGGTGGTGTAGAAAGATCTGGTGGTGCACTAGCCACCGCTGGTGATCACGAATATCTTCTAGTTGTCTGTTAGCAACTCTAAGTGTTGAAGCAGCTCCTGGCGGTCCACAAGAAACTCCTGATGGTCCACTCGCAACTTCTAGTTGTTTGCTAGCAATTCCTAGTGATCTTCTAGCAACTCTCGACGTTGGGGAAGGTCCGGGTGGTCCTCTAGAAACTTCCAGTGGCCTACTTGCAACTACTACAAGTCCATTAGTAGTCTGCACGAACTCCTGGTGGTGTAGCAACTCCAGGTGGTCCACTATCATAGCAGTTTCTAGAAGTCCGCTTGCAATTGCTATTGATCAGAAGCAACTTCTGATGCCCCGCCTCCGGTGGTACAACAGGGTTCACCTTTTCTGATCTTATCAGGCACTTTTTGCTTTGTAGATGTAGTCCGGTCAACATATGTCCAACCTTTTGTTTACACTGATGGTATCATCATATTTATTTTCTATGTAGCTATATTAGTAATGCAGTATATATGAATATATCTATATATATATCAGGTTCCACCCAAGCCACGCCAAGACAAAACATTGAAGAATAAGCTCATTTGTGACAGTGTAACACTTAATGAAGTGCTGTCTTATTCTTATTACACCCTGCAATACAAGCCCCCCGCCCCCATTCATGATGTGGAACATATATTTTAGAAACCAGGCCATCCTGTGATCTCATTATACTGTATGCATGGATATCAGGAATTGTTCATAATATGCAAAATAAAGCGAGATATATTTCACGCCGCTCTGTCGCTTTTTGTTGTGTGGCTTCGCTCATGGGCAGTTTCAGGCTGACATCCCAAAATGTGGAACATTATAAAATGATTCAACAGTTTTAAATGCGGGACGTTACAATTTTATGCAGACATTACCAGATGCAGAAAACGCAGAGATTCCACAAATGTAGGAAAGGAGAGCCAAATTTTCCACAGGCGGTGTGCCCCCGCCCCACACACACACACACACACACACACACACACACAAAACACACACACACACACACACACACACACACACACACACACACACACACACACACAAATTAAATCAGCAATAATTTACAGCCAGACGGCATTACGCAGATTTTGCAATACTCACATTTCGGGTGGAAAACTGCGAAGGGAGACGAGCCCCTTTTCCTCTGATTGATTGCTTCACAAATCGATAATATTGCTGTGTCCTCACTTGGTCTGACATTTTTACGTATTATTAACACATTACAAGTGGTGGAAATAGCTTGAGAACAAATCTATAAACGCACTTGAATGCTCGACTGGCTGAGAAGTGAAAACACCGCCTATTTCCCCCTGCTTCTGCGGAAGCAAGCCGGGTGGCCTCGTGTCACCTATATTGCTATATTGATTTTTTTGTTTGTTTGTTTGTTAATTTTTTTATGTAGATAACAAGTGAAAATAGTGAGGATCGAGACATTTTGAGTCCGCCCGTTTTGTTGCACTCGATTACTGTAATGTTTTGTTGCAGAAGGAAGGAAGCAGCCTAAATCGCCATGAGCCAATTCTGAAATGGGAGGAAATACTTTAAGCCGATCTTCAAGCAGACATTCTGAAACCTGGGAACGGATTTTAAAGACATCCTCAAATGTGGTAAAATGAGTTTCAGCCTTTTGCTAATTTCACGCCGATTTTCAGGCAGATTTCGCAATGTTGCACTGTTATGCAATTTGGCACAGAAATTCAAAAACTGCTGGTCCACTACCAATTCTTAGTACTCCGGGAGCAACTCAAAGTTCGACACAAGTAACTACTAGTGCGTCGCAGGCAACTTTCAGAGGCATCGCAATCCTCTAAAGTGTTGCTGTGTGTTGCACTGCTTAGTGTGACACGCATGCACGGCACACAGCCTCACTCCAGGCTGATGTTGTGTTATGTAACACAAGTGCTGGCCGTCATCCTCAAAGCAAAAAGATTGGGGGGGAAAAAACAGAGCATAGGAGTCCCTCCCCCCATCGCTGGCCCTTTAATCCCGTGCGTGTTTGTGTGTGTGTGTGTGTGTGTGTGTGTGTGTGTGTGTGTGTGTGTGTGTGTGTGTGTGTGTGTGTGTGTGTGTAGACATGTTACAGTCATCTGTTGTTGCAGTCCTTTATAGGCCATCATGTTAGCAAATGAAGTCAGGTGTTAGCATGAAAATAAAAAAATAAATAAATAACCACAACGCATTTGCAAAATACGACATTGTGAATCAACATGACACAATAAAAACATGCATAATAAAAGCATGTATAATTTCGTACATAATATCTAGCTAGCTAGCGAGCAAGCTATCATATAAATTTGTTTTAGCGCTATCTTATTTACCTGCGTGAACGAACTTCCTAGTTAGGATGAGAAACTTTCTCAATTATCCTCATCTTCTTTTTTGGTCGGTTGACAACAATATTTGGTACCGTTGTTTTGAGGAAAGAGTGTAAGTCCTCTTCTGCTGCCGCGGCCTCACTTCACCGTTCACAGGCAGCTAGCTCACGCAAACAAATAAGCTAGTGCGAGCGAGAAAAGACGTTTCTCATTAGGACGAGAACGTTTCTCGTGCAATAATAACAATAATAATAATAATACATTCAAGAACAAACAAAATATTTTCTGAGGAAATATAGAAAAAGCCATCACATTAGCATTTGACATAAAAGAGGTCCATTGCCCCCGCCTGACTGAGCGAGAAGAACGAACTGAGGCCCCCAGTGACCAAAGCATGAGGACGCCGACATGCTAAACTTGTATGATGCCACTTGCCCGGGCTGTCGGCGCTCAAGTTTGAATGTAAACCAACAAGCAATGTTTTCTAACAGCTGTCAGTACGCACGTTGCCGAGCCACAGAAGGAACCTGACAAAACTCTCATTTTGCCCTCTCACTTGACTTTAATCCATCCAGCATGACGTCATCGCTTCACTGCAACAGCAACACTATCAGGATTGTTTGCGGATTAGTTTCATCTCCAGCGTCAAGTACCACAACCACCATTACCGTGTGTGTGTGTGTGTGTGTGTGTGTGTGTGTGTGTGTGTGTGTGTGTGTGTGTGTGTGTTGCCACCGAAGGGCCTGACTCACGTTTCAATTTCCGTTGAAGTAGCCCTCCATTTTTTCCCTGCACACTTTTCACATTATGTGAACGTGCATGTGAGCTCGTGAACGGCAGCCGTGTCAAATGGCGGCGGGGGCGTTGGCCACACAGGAAATGATAACGCCATCCCCGTGGGCTATTGAGGGGAGTCCTTATTAGCATGATGAAACTTTGAATCGCTCTAAAAATTGCCTTTTATTTCTATGTCTCACACACTCACGCACACACCCACATACACACACACACACACACGGACACGGTGGAGGAATTTTCATTGCACTGAGCCTTGTGTCAAAAAAGAGTAATAAAAAAAGTAAATAAGATGATCTGAGAGCAGCCACTCTTATTTTCATTACATGAGGGGCAGTGCCCCACCACATGCTCACTACTTTAGCCCCCACAGGAAATAACGGGAATAGAAATAATCAGTTGCTAGGTCAAACTGTAGCCACTGTGAAATGTTTATGAAATGTGGAGCTTGTCGTTTGAAAACGACAAGCAGGATTTGAATGTACTGTAGCTTCACTTCACTAATCCGCCTCCCCCCCTCCCCACCAGCCCCACCCCACTCGAGTCAATGACGTGCACGAGCGCACGGCATTATCGCTTGTGTTTCGGAAAGTGTGTCATTGTGATCAATCATTACAGGGGAGGCTGTCTAGATTCGACACAGTAACAGCGTTAGCCATTACTTAGCGAGCATTTGCACTGTAAACAAGCTGAAGTTAGCCATGGAGGCACACCAAACACATTTGGATTAATTTAACAACGCTGTAGTATAATCTATGAAATCTATCAAAATTTAAGGCTTCTTTATCAGGAACCCCCCCCCCCCCCGCCCCCGCCCCCAAAACCCCCCACCCGTC